TTCCCCCCATCTGTAAAATGAAAAGTTTAGACTGGGTGATCCCTACTAGATACAAAAAAAATATATATGTAATAAACATCTCTATGTATTTATTGTGTACAGAGCACTGTGTCAGGACTTGGGGGAGATACACAGTTTTGATAAGACAGAGTCTGTGCCTCAAGCAACTTATAGTCTAATAGGAAGATGACATAAACACAGAGCTATAATTCCACAATTGGTGTCTTAAAGAGACTCAAGTAAAGTCTGAGGGGGAAAGTCATTACCAACGTGGGGAGATCTGAGAAGGCCTCCTAGGGGAGGCAAGCAACCTCATTAAGAACTCCAAAGAGGAAAAAAAAAAAAGAATTCCAAAGAGGAAGAGGGGGAAGAAGGGAAGACATCCCAGACAGAGGAAAGAGCCCGAGGAAAAAAAGCAAGGAAGTATCAGAGTTCTGCATGTGTTCCAGGTAAAGAAAGTGGGTGAGTTTGGCCAGCACATAGAATGTGTGGAGGAGAGTAATATGAAACAAGGCTGGCAAGGAAGGACAGTGATAGACTGTGGACAGCCTTGAATGTCAGAAGAGTGTGAACTTGACTGAGTACTAATAGGGAATCACTGAAGTCTCTTGAGCAAAGGAGTGACCTGACTGTGTTCCTACACATGATTTTGGAGGCTGTATGAAGGTAAAGAATGAACTCTGATTCTATTCTCTAAATAGAAGTCCTGTGATTCTCCAAGGTACCTTCTCTAAGGTGGCATTTGCATTTTAATGGTGGCTTTCAATGGTAGTCTCCAGGAAACCTTAGCTTAATTCAGCAAATACTTATTAAGGACATTCCTTTTCCAACCCATTCCCCCTCCCCAGAAATTATGGTGTATGTAAAGAGGGGACAAAGCCATTTGAGTTCCTAAGCACTCAGACTAACTTATTTTCCTCACCTTGGGGCAGGCCTACCAAAACATTTGAAATGCCCATCATCAGGATCACTACTTTGCTGGTGGAGGTAGCTGCTGTTTCTATTCAGAAGGTTTCTTCCTGCAAGGGTAGCACTAAAATCAATAGTGACAGATACAGTCATAAATAAATAGAAGTTTTAACTATTGCTGTTAACATCAACTCCTTTCTCCCTAGTGCATCCCCTTCCCGAATTGCATATAGTAGTAGATGCTTAATAAACATATGTCAAAGGAATGAATGAGTGAGTCCAAGTGATTCAGGGTAGGGTGAAGGGTGATTGCCTCTTACAATGATCTCGAGCATGTAATCAAGGAAACCCTGATTGATGGATGCAGAAGATAGATGGTGACTAATGTAACCATTACATGTCATCACTTGATATACTGCCTTAGAAGCTGTGAATTATTTCTACAGGCACAATTATGTTCCAGGAGGAAACACACTTGGCTCTTTCCTCCACTGCACATCTTTGCTCATGCTGCTCCCTGCAATACCTCCCTCTGCATGTTGGCCTGTCAAAGTCTTAACCCATCCTTTAAGGCCTAGCTGAAATGTTACCATTTCCATGATGTTTTCCCTGATCCCTATAATACCATATGGTCTCTTCATACTCTGAACTCCCAATTTAATTCAGTTCAAAAACCATTTTCAGAGCCTATAATGGGCAAGGCACTCTTTTTGGGTGAGCAAAAACAAATAGGCGCCGTCTTTTAGGAGCTTATATTCTCTTGAGGGAGGGGGTGGCAAAGAAGATATAACATATACAAGAAGGATAGTAAACTAAAAGTAAAGTAAACTAAAATTATAGATAAAGTAATTTCAAGAGCGAAAGATCACTGATGACTGAGGGGATCAAGAAAGGCCTTATGCAAGAGGGGCACCTGAGTTGTAATTTAAAGGAAGCTGGAGATCTTAAGAGGTGAAGATAAGGAGGGAGAACCTTCCACAAGTGATAGCCTGAACAAAGATATACAAGAGGTAGTTGTAACATCAAGTCCAGGAAATATCCAGTAAGCTAATTCGACTGAGATAAAGAACGTCCAAAGGGGAGTACTACGAAATATGATTGGAAAGACAGTTGGGAAACTAGATTGTGAAGGGCTTTAAATACTAAGATGAGGGTTTTACATTTTATCCTAGAAGCAATGTGGAGCCACTGAAGACTTTGAGTACAGGAGTGAGATGGTCAGATTTGTGTTTTAGGTATGCCCATTTGGTTGGACTGGAGAAAAGGAATACTAGAAGCAGGGAGACTAAAACAGGCAAAAGGCATGAAATAAAGTAAAATTCAGCTTTTTAAGTGGAAAAGGACTGATGTGAGAGATATTGTGCAATTAGGATCAATTAAGACTTGGTGCTGATTGTGTATGGGGAATGAGTCCCAGGGCCTTTCAGAGGGAGAGGGATGTGTTGGAGGTGATGTCTATGTTGCTAACCTGGGTGACTAGAAGGATGGTAGTGCCTGTAAGAGAAATAAAGGAATTTGGAGGAAAGATGAGTGGTAGAAGAAATATGAGTTCTGTTTTGGATGTACTGAATTTGAGATGCTGCTAGGACCTGATCCAGTTGAAGAGGTCCTACAGTCAGTAAGTACTAAAGGATGGAATTCTTGACAAAGATTAGGATTGGTTACGTGGATTTGGGAGACATCTGCATAGAGATGATAGTTGAATCCATGGGAGTTGATGAGATCATCATGGAAGAGAATGTGGTGAGAAGAGAGAGTCAATGACAGAGACTTGGAGGATGCACACACTGGGAGGAATAATCTAGCAAAGGAAACTGAGAAGAAGCAATTAGGCAGGCAGGAGGAGGATGAAAATAGAGTGGTGTCCATGGAAGCCAAAGCAGGAGAGAGGATCAAGGAAGAAAGAGTACTTAACAGTGTCAAAAGCTACAGAAGGATTAAAAAGGATAAGGATGGAACTTTGGCTTGAACCTCCCTAAGTCTTTTATAATAACACATTTCTATAGGAATTTTGAGTTTATGAAGTACTTTCCTCATAACAACCCTGTGAGGCACATAATGAAAGCACTATTATGCCCATTTTACAGATAAGGAAATAGGCTCAGAATGGGGGGAAGTACAGGAACCAAGATTTGATCTTCCATTCTCCTTTCTTGGAGTCTTGGAACTCTTTCCAGAACACCATAGCTTCCTCCACCATATTCTAACTTAGATATGTAATAGTTTTTTCTTTCCTACCAGTCCAAAAGTTCCATAGGATAGGGAATATATCTCATTTGTGATGCATTCCAAGCACCTACGTGCTCAATAAATATTTATTGAATTAATCCAAATCAGCCCACAATTGGGGGAATATTAAATTAACATGGAACTAGAAGCATGAATTTAAGAATGTATTAGAAAATAAGTGATATAAGATGTGTTGGGATAGAGTCCCATCAATAGACCATCAAATAGACTTATTTTGCTCAGCCCCAGGTGGTAGAAATGGGAACAATGGTAGAAGCTGGAGGCAGATTTTAGCTCAATTATAAGGAAGTAATTTCTAATAATTAAAGCTGTCTAAAAATGGAATGGCTACCTTTCAAGGGAGTGAGTTCCCCATTACCACAAGCAGAGGCTAGATGCCCACTTCTTAGGGAGTTCTGCTTTATAGGGGTGGTACTGAATGACCTCAGAGGTCACTTCCAACTCTTAGATTCTAGCCTGTCCAGCAGAACAGACATTTTTTTCCTTTGATAAAAAAATGCAGTGTTTATTGCTGAAACTGCCTAACTCAGAAGAAACATCACAAAATTTTATTCAGAGGAAATAAACAGTTGTGTGGCTCTGGAAACTGAGGAATATCAAAGTAAAAACAGACATTGCCTTTGTGACTAGGATACTAACTGTTCATTAGTGGACTTCTGATGGACAAGGGAATCTCTTTTAATAGCAGGGGGAAGGCAAGACTTCTAGACATCTGCCATGTCACCCAGAGACTTCTGGCTAAGGCATGAACTATTGTAATATACTCAGCCTATAGTTCCTATGCTGGCACCAGAGAGATTACATCGGTTTTGTTTAAAAACAAATTTTTTTTTGTCTGAACTTGTGATTTCTTCAGTGTTAGGGAACTCATAGTGTGGAAACTCCCTCCACTAATGCAGATGGATAATAGCAAATTAATATAATAATAATATCCTAGGAACAGTAATTTTTAGCAACAATGGTGGAATGCCCTGCTTCATCAGGAAAGCAATGTCTTGCAGTGGAAAGAACACTGGATTAGAATTTACTGGGGTCTGCTCTGACTTTTCTCACTTTTATCCCGTCACCTTGGGCAAGATACTCACCCCTCAGCTTCGATTTCTTCACCTTTAAAATGGGGGAAATGATTCCGTCCCTGCCTAACTTGGAGGTGGTGAGGATCAGGTGAGATATTGTTTGTGAAAGTGCTTTGAAAACTTAAAAAAGTACCATACAAATGTACCGTAGTGATTTATAAGAACAACATACGTACTTTCCTCCTTCCTCCTCTTCTTGGCCCAAGGGAAGGGACGTATCTGACCGGTGAGGCCACGTCCCCTATTCCAGTGCGTGTGTGTGTGTGTGTGTGTGTGTGTGTGTGTGTGTGTGTGTGTGTATTTGGGAATGGCAGCAGTAGGGTCCCTTACTGGATGGAGGAGGGGACGAATAATGACTTTATAGGACGGCGCCCCAGCAGAAGAGGCTAGGTGGGACCTGGTTTAGATCTCCCCGAGCAGGGGGTCGTTGGTGAGGCGTTAGCAGGGGCCAGCTGTCGGGACAGGGAAGGACTGGGGTGGGGTGGAGGGCTGGTGATGAGGGCAGCATCTCGCTCCCCCACCCACCCACCCCCAGGCCGGCCGCTGCTCGGCTCCCTCCGCCCTGCGGGGAGTCCGGCCCCCGCCAGTCTCCGCCCCCCTCCCCATTCCGGGCTCCTCTTTGATGCACCGCCGCGGCCCAATGGGCGCGCGGAGGAGGCGTCGGGCTGGGGGCTCAGCGCAAGGAGGCGTCAATCAGGCAGCCGCGGGGCTGGAGGGAGCTCGTCCTGGTACCGCCTCTGTCTTTGGGAGAAAGAGGGAGAGAGAGAGAGAGGAGAGGAGAGGAGAGGAGAGGAGAGGAGAGGGCAGGAGAGGAGAGGACAGGAGAGGAGAAGCCGGGCGGGGAGACTGGGCCAGGGGCCGGGACACATGGATTAACCAGGCGCCCTCTCGGGCCGGTGTCCGCCCAGCCGCACCATGGGCAAACTTCACTCCAAACACGGTCAGTGTCTCCCGCAACCCCCGGCCCCGGCCCCGGGAACTGGGCTCGGGCTCGGGCTCGGGCTCCCTCTCCTTCTTCTTCTCCTCCTCCTCCTCCACCTCTTTCTCCTCCTCTTCTTCCTCCTCTTCCTCTTCTCCCTGCCCTGCCCTGCCCAGCCCTGCCCAGCCCAGCCCGCCGAGCCGCGATCGCTAACTCTCTCCCTCTCCCTTTCTTTCCTGCTCCCGCCCGCCGCCTCGGATCTGCCCAGCTGCCGTGTGTAAGCGCAGGGAGAGCCCCGAAGGTAGGGATGATGGCTCCCCACCCTGGGGCAAACTTTCTGACCCTCCTCCTTTCTCTGGGTCTTTCCCCTCCCGCCCCCCTTCCCTGCTCTTTCCTCAGCCCACCCTCCTTCCCTCCTCCTCCTGCTCCGCCACCACCGCCTCCGCCGCCTTCAGCTTTCCGCTCCCTGGCCGGCTCCGGCCTCTGCCCCTCTTCGCGCTGTCCTCGAACCTGTCCCGGCTCTCGTCCCCGGACCCTGCTATCTAGCTGTCTATTCCTCTGCCTTTGCCTGACTTCATTCCCTCCTTGTTTCTGCTTGTCAACTCTGGTCTCTCGCCCCATCTTTCCTCCTGCTCATCCCTCTGTTCCTCCCTCCTCTGCACTCCTCTCCCTTCTCTTGTTTTCCTGTCCGTTTCTTTCTGTAACCTTTATCTTTCCCTTTCTCCCTTTTCTCCTTGTTCTTCTTACTCCCTTCTCTTCTGTTCTCCTTTCTTCTGTCTTTTCTCCTTTCTCCCCTTGTTTTCTTTTCTCTCTTACTTCTCTCTTCTACCCGTCCTCCTTCCTTGTTCTTCTCTTCCTCTTAGTCCCCTTTACCTTTCTCCTCTCCCCGACTCCTTCTCCCTGCCTCCCTATATAACTTTAGGGGTGATGTACTGCACTGGGGGTCGGAAGAGGGAGAAGGTGGATGTTGGGGTTAGGGTCTCAAACGGGCTGTGCTGTGTCCTAGGTGACAGCTTCGCAGTGAACGCCTCCTGGGCTAGGAAGGGGATCGAAGACTGGATCGGGAAGCAACGCTACCCCAGCAGTGGCCCAGGATCCCGGCAGCCCCGGGTGGTGGGCGGCTTCTCCAGCGGCACCCGGGTACGGACCTCTTCCCCTACCTCCCTTCGGTGTCCTAGAATCCTTTCTGCTCTACTGCATCTTCTCCTTCTTTCTTCCGCTCCTTCCTTCTGTCTAGCGAAGGGAGCGTGATGCCGGTTCTTAGCCCACTCCCTTTCGCTGGCCCTTCCCTTCTCCTCCAAAAGGGGACTCTGGCTTCACAAATGTGCCCAGGGTCTATCTCCTCCTTCCCACCGCCCCCACCAGGATATTCCCATATTCTCTCTCTCTCTGTCTCTCTGTCTCTGTCTCTGTGTCTGTCTCTCTGTCTCTCTGTCTCTCTCTGTTTCTCTCTCTTTCTCTGTCCCCTCCCCTTACTGTGCGGAGTGATGCTAACTGTCTTGGGGCTATTGGAAAGTGGAGATGGTAACTAGCCCCTTCAGCTCCCCGGGAGAGTTGAGTTAGCACTATGTCTCTCGTCTTGAGATGGCATAGGGAGGGGGCCCAGGAAAGGCAGGAAGGATAAGGCACATTTCTCAAGATTAAAGTTATCTGGGGACAGGAATGACTTCCTACTTTTCTTCTGGAGGTACCTCAGAGCCATCCTCCTCTCCTTGCTGAAGAGGAGGAGTGTCGGCTTAGGTCATGGGCTAGACAGAAGAAATAGAGTAGAGCCAGGGGGGCTATTCCTGAAGGAGTCCAGGTCAAGAGTCAGGGGGCCACTTTGGCTTCTGCTTTTGTGCATGGTATGCATGGAGAGGGATGGGGGTGGTGGTTGTCTGTTTCACCTGCTATAATTTGTATGCATGCAGGAGGGGGAAGAGTTCAGAAATAGGATTGGAGAGGAGTTGGGGCAGTTTCCCAGTGGCAACAGCTGTTGGTGCAGAGGTCAAGGCTGGGCTGGTGGACTCTGGGGCTCCTGGTGAAGAAATGACTGTGGGGCTGCTTACTGTAGTGGGAGGAGGCTAAAGAAGAAGAAAGCTACATCAGAGCTCCCTAGGGAGCTGACTCTCCCAGACTTTTCTGTTTTATAAAACAGAGTGGAATCAAATTTGTGTTCTCTGGTTTTTTCTTTTCTTTTTGGTCTTGGTTAAAACTGCCATTGGGAACTGTTTAGAGACTAGAGCAGTGAGTTACTGGTTATTTGGGGCAGCATTTCTCAAAGCACCCCCCCCCCCCCTTTCAGGGAGATTTCTAGTGAGCAGAGCCTACAGGAGGGTTTCCTAGTTTCTTCTTTAAGGTCATGTGCCAGGTCACACATCTAGTTACTAGGAAAATGACTATATTTTCGGATAGTCTTGTTCTTGTTCCAGGCCCTGGGGACCTAGGATACCTTCTATGAATCTTGCTGGTTAAGTTGTTCTTCTCCCTTGTGGATGAAGTTCTGAGATTTCTTGGTAGACAAACATTCCCAGGGGAGTAAGTGGTTCTGTGGAGTTGTCTGCTAGGGAGAGACAGTGTAGTTCGGGGTCTGGCAGTGACTGGAGTTCATGGATGTCCTGCAAGTTATATGACTCCACATGTGGGTTTCAAATGATCTGCGTGCAACTCAGGCAGCCCAGAGGATCAAAAGATGAATGAAGTTTTTGATGTGACATTTAATTTTTTTCCCTCTTTCTTAAAGGGGGAACAATCAAACTGGCAGGTTGGATTTGCCATCCTTACCAGCTGGTAGGGAGGCTTGTCCAGGTGGTTTGGGGAGGGGAAGGGGAAAGAGTTATTCTTTGGAAGTGGTGGATTTTTTTTTTGGTGGTGGTGGTGGTGGTGGTGGTGAGGAAGGGTTGGTCAGATGTAGCCATGGTGGACGAGTAGAACTTCAAGGGGAGGAGGATTAACATGGAAAGAGATTTGTGCACTGACCTTCAGGTCTCCAAGAGGAGCTGCTGCCTTTTCATTAAACTGCTAACACCCATCTGCCCACTAGGGAACCATCCTGATCTTAGATGTTTCATTAGCCTGTAGGCTGTGCTGGGATTAGAGATGTTAACAAAGGCATACATACCGTCCCAAACCCTCTACCTTCTAGTTTTTGAGCCACTTAACCCCCCCCCCCCCATTAAAATGATTTGATTTGTCTTTATGAATGAATTCATTTTGTAGCTCAAGACAAAGAAATATACTTATCTAACTAGGCATATTCTCATTGATCTGTTGATTCTTTTTTTTTTTTAAACAAAGTATTCCTACCTAGTGTCACGTATTTGGAACTTTAAAAAAATGACAGCAAGCAACACTCTCCTAGAGTGGAAATCTTAAATGTAGTAATAGCTTAATTCATTTGACATTTATCTTGAAAGTCATAACAAATATTACCTCTCCTCCCCTCTTTAAAATGTCTGGGTCTCCTTGGTTTCCAAATTGAGGCTGACGGGATAGATATAGAGTGAGACAAAGGAAAAACATCTGTAATTATGAATTAAATAATGGAATTCTCCACAAAGGGATCGTGAGCGTTTTTTAAAAAATTGCCATTTGGAGAAGTAGAGAAGAATCTGTTGGAGGCCCCTGCTTAACTCCAACTCTGCCTGTGGCTTTTGGCAAGTTCACTTAACCTTTTTGCCTTTTTATCCCTCCCAGATAAAGAATGGGGAAGGATAGTACTTACCTCCCTCTCTTGGGAGCATTGTGAGGAGTAATTAATGTTTGTTCAAAGCACTTTTGAAGATGAAAAGCACTAAGATACCAGTAGCAAATGTTATGAAGCAGGCTGCCCTTGATTCCAGGATGAGGGCTCCTATCATCAAAGAGAGATGATGGGAAGGGAGCAGGAGTCTTTCTTAAGGGGTATTTTGCCTGTTCTAAGGATACCACTTAGTGGAGACAGCCAGGATTGAATTCTAATCTAGATTTTGCTACTCATTTATTGAGTTTGAGAGAATCCACTTTAACCTCTTGGAGTCTCAGTTTCCTCATCTGTAAAATGGGCTTGATAATGCTTTTACCACTTATAAGGTTGCCTCGAAGATCGAATAAGAGAATAGAGAATGTGAACATCTTCTGGCAATATAGATTTTTGGTATTGTTCTAAACCAGAGTTTACTTTGAAAATTCTGCCATCCTGGTTTTACTGTATTTTAGGATGTCTTTCATTTAATAATTGGGATGCAAATAGATGTATGGTTCAGAGTGACGGTTTAGCTGATTACTTCATCTGTGATCATGGACTAGAGGGAGGTTCTTGCACTTTAGGATTCAAATGGTCTGAGAATGGCAGTGGGAGGTACAAGGGAAGGTAAGCTCATTCACTGGGCCTTTTCCGAATTGTCCTCCTTTTTTGGATATACTGGAGGGGCCATTTGTCTGTCCTTACTTTGATGCAGTAAGCCACAGCATGACCCAGTAGCACATACATCAGCTAGTTGGTCAATCCACATTTATTAAGCACCTCCTATGAGCTAGGAACTGTGCAAAGTACTGAGGATATAAAGACAGGTAAACACTACCTATTTTCAAGGAGTTAACAGTCTAATGGAGGAGTCCACATGTGAATAAGTATAAATAAGCAAGCCCTGTGTGGGACAAATTGGAAATAATCGACAGAGATGGTAATAGAATTAAGAAGGATTAATAAAAGTGTGTTGGGTTCCTCAAACACAGCCTCCTCAGGCATGCCACTGAGCATGCAGTAAATATGTTGGATCCCAAACAGCATTTCTCTGCCTTCTAGTAGCCTGCAACTAAAGGAAAAGGTTAATAAGAGGTAGTATATTGTGAAAGATACAGCCTGGACAGGAGTTAGGAGACCTGGGGTTTTGGTCTTGGCCCTGTCATTCACTTGTCTAAGTTAGTGACCTTAGATAAGTCACTTACCCTCTATGAAATGACTTATCCTATAAAATTGCATGCTCCTTGAGGGCAGAAACTATGTATAACCCACCATTATATCCTTCCCAGTGCCTTATACTTAGTAGACATTCAGTAAATGTTTGAAAGAATGTACCTGAGTTTTTTTCCAGCTGCAGAATGGGAATAGACTGTTTTGCCTACTTGATAGGGCCGTGAAGATAAATTTTTTAAAAAATCCCTTTTATTTATATAACACTTAGTCATTTACAAAGGGCTTTCGTGTCCATTATCTCATTTGGCCCTTGCAACAATCCCACGGACTAGCCAGGGCAGGGATTGTCTTCATTTTACAGATGGAGCAACTGAGGTTCAAAGAAGCAACGCAAGTGACTGAAGGTCACATGATTAATAAGAGGCAGAGCCAAGGCTAGAAATCAAGTTTTTTGACCTCTCAGGCCAGTGTTTTTATCTACTGCCCCTACTTTAATCTTTTTTTGTTTTGGCAAGGCAATCAGGGTTAAGAGACTTGCCCAGGGTCACACAGCTAGTGAGTATTGTGTCTGAGACTGGATTTGAACTCAGGTCCTCCTGACTCCAAGGCCAGTGCTCTATCCACTGAGCCACCTAGCTGCCACCTAGCTGCCCTCTTCCCCTGCCCGCTTTAATCTTTGAAAGGTTAAAAGATGATAGATACAAAAATATAAGGTGCTCTATAAGGCATGATACTTTTTTTTATTATGAGTAAAATTAATAAATATTTGCTAAGCACGAAGAAAAAAGTGATTTTTTTTTCCCCCACGAAATCTTAGCAAAGTTGGAGAGGACTTTGTGTGTATGTACCTTTATGCTTCTTAAATTGCACCATTTTGAAGGTCTTACTTTCTGCTGTCATTTGGTCTTGGTGGCCTGACAAGGGAGGGTGTACGCTGGCTGAAAGTGTAGACAAAGAAAAGTCTAAGCAGGGAGTTCAAACTTTGATGCCAGGAAGGCAGGGTAATTTAATTAGTGGTGTACCTAGCTCGTTTTGACAGTTCTGGTTTGGGGAGATTACAGTGTGCTCATTCCCAATCAGAGTGTCTATGGAAGTATTAGTGCCAGTGATGAGATTAGAGAGTTGGCGGGGGCTGCTGCTGAGAGCCGGATTCCTGGGGAATTATGCTTGAATGATACCAGTTGGTACAATTAAAAGCTGCAATGTAGTTGCCATATGGAAAGTGTTAGATGTCCTTATGTGGTTTCAAAGCAGTGTGCCAGAG